TAACCAGTTGCACGTTCCAACTCTATTATTGACTAAAACTTTTATTATTATCTATTATTAAAAAGAAACATGTTAAAACAACAGCTTTAAAATCCTTTTGATTGTGTACTGATTTGAAAAGACTCATTCCCACTTGGTGCCCCAAATGCCTGTTATTTATGTAACTTGTAACTAACGGCAGTACGTCACACACCAACAACTGTGGGCCTTCAGCAAAGATGAAGCTAGCTCGATATTCTCAGTCAGTTTTGGGATAGTTACTCAAACTGTAATTCATTACTCTTTAAAAGTTATATTACTTATTACTCTGCCAAAAGTAATTAGTTACACTATTAATTATATTAAATTTACCACACAATTGGTAATTGTATTCTTCTGAAATGTATTAGTAATTAGTTACAGTACTAGTTAATGGGGAAAGTAATATTACTAGTAATGAGTTACTGCCCAACACTGTTCTTAGTACTTGTCTTGTTTTTCCAACTTACTATATGGTTACACCCATATGACAGCTTCAGTAGTTTGGTAAATAACTGTTTTGATGAATTGAACCTAAAACTTTACAGACCTGCTCTTCAATAGTTACGGTTGCTAAGCTATGATTGGACAATTGCTGTTCGGGGGAGGGGTTTAGTAAACTGTCAAAGTTACAGCTAAAAAAAAAACCTCACATACCTTTAGTCTTCTCAGAGGTATTTTTATTGCTGGTTTCCTTCAGTGACATAACTAGAGATGTAGACAAGAAAGAAAAGTCATTATTTCCTAAAAGCAAAATAATCGTCTTTATGGCAATGAGTTACAAGAGACGTACCCTTATCAGAGATCCTGGTGAATTCTCTTTCAAGTGTTTGGTCCAGACTGTCTTTGAGATCTGCCAAGGCTCCTCTAATGGTTTTATACATCATGTATGGAAGTGCGTCAGTGTTGGGCATCTCCACAGTCTTTGTAGGGAAGTGAAGGGACTTGCACTTCTGTAGTGACGTGCAACACAACCAAACTAAAGGACAGTATTTGAATGCAAATGCAACAACCTCCACAAATCAGGAAGGAATCACTTTGTGGGTCACAAAACTGTACATTAAGTCCAGACTGCACTCAAAATCATATTGGCTGGGTCGATCAAGTAGCATGGATGATATTATTAAAGTTTTAGGGAAGGGAAGAAATTAAAAACAAGTGAAAATGTCAAAGTATAAAAGGTACATTTTATCTTTAAACTAGAATAATATTGTGCTTCCAAATGATGACCCTTTGGAATATGGTATTGGATAAATATGTCAGTATTTTATGTAATAAAATACATAATACAGACAAAATTATATACAAAGTTAAAAATAACAAGAAGACTCAATAGATGCAACATTCACAGGAAATAATCTCACAATTCATCCATCTGCTCATTTTACACGAGCACCCTGCAGTTATTGCGTTCATTTGGGTTAATTGAACAGTTTATTTGTGCTGTACTGTTATTGTTATGCACTGAATACAATATGAAATATGCATAAAATATGTCATTTAGTCAGAGGTTGTCAGTTTACTCAGTGATATAAAAGAGGTCCCTTAAGGAAACACTGATAGAGGCATCAGTATTTAATTCACTGTTTCATAACCAGTTAAATACTCAATGAAGCAAGGTTGCCACATTGATTGCCTCTTAATTCAGGTTAAAAAACGGAGTTCTCTCTCTTCCCCAAGTTAGGAGGCTGTTGCAATAATCAGAGCTTGTAGAGATAAAAGCCTGTAAGATCGCCTGTGTCTAAAAATGTTAGTCATTAAATATCCCAGTTGATAAATAAACGATTGGACCTCTTCCCACAACACTGTCCCAGATTCTCTTTTGTTCCATACCTGAAGGAAGTGGATGTGGTCCTCAGTGCGAGAAAGCTTTTCCAGCTCAGCATCAGTCCTCCTGAGCTCGCCTATCTCCCTCTGTATCTTCTCCAGCAGCTCCTCAGCCTGACTCACGGCCGCTCTCTCCTGGACCCTGATCACCTCCTTCACCTCGCAGCTCTGTTTCTCGATGGAGCGGATCAGCTTGGAGAAAATCCTCTCGCTCTCCTCTACTGCCGCTTCTGTAGAGTGCTGTGGAGGAAAAGGTTTTCCAGGAATCATGCACACCACGCTTTTAAGTGCAGACAGTATGTCAACAACGTATTTAAAGCTCCTATTGAGAAGACACTCACCTTGATGTATCTGACAACATATCTAAGTTCCTTCTCCGCGTCCTTCAATTTCTGCACAGACTTCAAAGATGTATCTTCGAGTTTTTTCTAAGAGAATACAGAAAGATGAATATCACACAGTGTGGTCCCTTAGGCTGCTCAGTCGAATATTTCTTCCATGCTTGACTTTCAAGATGGCAAGTTTTGATTTTACAATCAAAAGGATTGGATTGCACTAGAAGGCCTTTGGTCTATCCATCTAAATTTTTTGCCACAGTAACATCAGAGCACAAGATATTGCTGCAAGACCAGGGCACACACCATACTGCCTGTATTCAATATTGGAAAGCCTTCACACCCGGCAATAAAAGACATATCCCTAATATCAGACACCAGACATACAAATTAGGCCCGTTTATCAGCTGGAGCTGCTCATCGAGGCAATTAAAGAACTTTAAAACCTTTAGTCAAGCTCTAAAAAGACTGCATTTTCTCATAACTCCATAGTATCACTCTTTAAACCTGGTAAATGCACACATCTTTCAACCTCCACAACCTAGTTTGTGATGCAGACTTTCTGCCTCCAGTCCCGTGTTCATGTTGCATATCATACTTAGGGTAGTCAAAGCCTGAGCAAACTAATGCAAAACCTTCCGCCTCTCTCTGTGCTGCACTAAACCCACACAAGTTCAAACGGCAGCAGAAGGAGTCAGTTGTCCCACAAAATACAGCCAATAGGAATGCCCTCTCTCTGGAATGACCTGTGAGTAAGTAAGTAAGCTGTAAGTCCCCCGTCACGGCCTGTAAATCTGAAAACAGAGCCAAGAAGAAGTGAAGAAGGCTAGTTTTTCTTTCAATATGCTGAAAGGTATTTATGGAATGTTTCCCCAATGATGCTGAAATAAAAGATTTAAACTTTAAGGGTCCAGTGTGTAGGATTTAGTGGCATCTCCACAGTGAGGTTATAGATCGCAACCAACTGAATACCACTCCTCTCACCCTCCTCTTCCAAGCATATGAGGGAAACTACGGAGGCTGCGGAACTTCGCAACAGGCCTTATCTAGAGCCAGTGTTTGGTTTGTCCATTCTGGGCTACAGTAGAAACACGCTGATTCAACATGACGGACTCCATGGGAGAGGACTGGCTCCCACTGTAGATAAAACTGGCTCATTCTAAGGTAACAAAAACACAATTATTCTTATTTTCAGGTGAAACATAGCTATGAATATTATATTCCATTTTTGATAATTGATCCTCCTAAATGTTACACACTGGACCTTTAAGTCCAAGGTTTTGGGAAATACACTTGTTAACTTTATTTTGGAGAGTTAGATGAGAATAATGATATTAATGTTCTCATCTAACTCTCTGACAGAAGGCAAATGAAGACATTTCCCAAAATTAACAAACAAATATATTAAATATTATTACAAGTATCACAGGCTGAGGAATACCATCCATGACTAAATCAAACACATACTGGCAATAGTAAATACAGGTAATGGTCTAAATTTTGGTGACAAAACTTGTGATACGCAATAACTATATTATTTAAAACCACTAAAATAAAAAGTAATTTAATATAAGTTATATAAAATAAGTTTATCTAACTCCAACTCAAGTTGCTCAGAAACACATGAACAAAAAAACGTTTAAATTGATCATTTCTGCGCTTACACCCACCTGTTGCATTCCTCTCTCATCCACCACTGAGACAACATTATGGCTCTTGTGTCTGTCTTTCACACACTGGGAACAGACATACTGCTGGTCAGTGCGACAGTACAGCCTCAGTAACTTATCATGCTGTGGGCACAGCTTCTCTCTCGACTGCTCTAAAGCTGGGATCAATTTATGGGCCTTCCCGTGAAAGCGTTCTTCGTGGACTCTCAAGTGAGCCGCACAGTAAGACTCCGAGCAAACAAGGCAGGATTTAACAGCTTTGCTTTTTCTCAAAGTGCAGACACTGCATTTCACTTCCTCAGGTTTAGCCAAGTGTTGAGCTTCATCTGGAAATCCAGACCTCTGAAACTTTTCCACCACCTCCCCAAGAACTGTGTTTTTACTCAGGACAGGTCTCGGTGTGAAGGTCTGCCTACACTGAGGGCAGCTGTACTGGCCTTTCTGCTTGGCCCGGTTCCAGTAGTCTTCAATGCAGTCCAAGCAGTAACTGTGTCCACAAGGGATCGTCACCGGGTCTCTTAAAACCTCCAGGCACACTGAACAACAAAACTGGTCTTGTTCAATAGAGATTGTTGCTGCTGCCATTTCCTACACACTCCGAACAGAAACTGGCAGGGACAAAGAGGGGCGTGGCTCACAGGTGTGCTCATAACAGCTTCTCAGGTTTCACCTGCTGCAGCCTGAAGCCTCCAATCACAGCCAGCGTGCCAGCAGACAGGCTGTCCCTGATAAAGCCAACTGTGCAAAGAGCAACCTTCTATTGAAACTGCCTCTCCTCAATATACATTAGATAAGTTCATATTCAATGCACTGACCAGTGAATGCACCGCAGTGTTTGTGTGCGCAGTCGACCTGTTTTTCCACTTCTAAATCAGACACCTAATACCCTTATTTATTTATTTTTTTTACAGTACAATGAAATGTGAACCAGCCCTCATGCATATAAACACCAACCTTGAGAAAGTATAGTTTGTACGAGTGTTTGCTTTTTAATGTCAGCACGTCACAAATCACAATATATTATTACACACGTCTGTAAAGCAAAGTTATTGTTCTGTTCTGTTTTTGGTTAAAAAATGCAAAGTAATTATAAAAGCATAACAGTGTTAAAAAAACTAAAATCTCAAGGCAATTTTAAATTAATTAATTACAAATACTAAAACATGTTGTGAGTTCAGTCCTGCTTTGTGCTGCGTGATACAATAAGCATTGTCAATGAGGTCTCCTGTGGCACTTGCAAATAGTTTCCTCATTTCTTGTTTGTACTTGGTGAAAACAAAACAATTAAATTAATGTCAAGCGGTGAATTATTAAATGTACAGTTCATAAGTGTCAGTGCACATCTGCAAGAGGAAACGGAGAAGAAAGCACTGAGGTATAATGACATTCAGTCCGTGCAGGTGCATGTGAAATGTCCTCTACAAGTCTATTTCCTCCTGGAGTGAGCGCGTCGCTGGATGTGCCTCTGTCTGGATCCTGAGGAGAGTTTGGAGCCTGGGCAGACAGAAGAGGAATTATTAGTCTCCAGCACCCCGAGGCAGCAAAATGTTATGACAAGGAGAGCTCACAAACATGTTCCTGCACTTAATCTGAACTGAACAGATCATACACAGAACCATTTAACAGTAAGACGCAATGTTATGAGGAAGCGACTGATTTACAGTTGTTTTGACGAGGTACAACAGCTATCACTCAATTTGCAGGTTTCTCGGTAAATGAACACGTTCATGTACAGAATACTCATCTCAGATCTTCTGATTTATTACACACACACGCACACACGCACAAAGCACACACACACACCACACACACACACACACACACACACACGACACACACACACACACACACACACAATCACACACAGTGAATACTGTTGTTAAAATTATTTCCCCCTAAACCATCTGAAACATTATATCAGTATTTCTATAATTCCAGTAATAAAACTGACAGGGTTCATTCTGTGGCTTCATGAGTACATCACTTATACTTTAAGGACATTTACTGCCAGTACTTGTATTGTGCTTCTACTTAAGTAAAATCATGAATGCAGGGCTTTTATCTGTAATTGAGTATTTCTATGGTGTGGTTTTTATTTTATTTTAAGTAAAAGGTTTCAATACCTCTTCGGCCGTTGCAGAAAATAAGTTACACTGCTGAAGAGTGGCAGGAAAGTAAGGGATAAAGAGGGGATGATATGCAGCAAAGGGCGCACAGGTTTGGAAGCTGAACCTGGGCCCCCGGCTTTGCGGTAAGGACTCAGCCTTTGTGCAGGGGGTGCATGCTCTACCAGGGCGGACTGTAAATATTATAGTAATGTAGTAATTAAAGCCCTATTTACCAAATGGTGAGAAGGCAAACGTGGGCAGAGGAGGTCCTGCAGGGAGGAAAGGGTTGAGATGGTTCACAGGACTCTGGTCTAGGCCAGGCAGGGGGGTCGCTGTAAGCACAAAGAGAACAAACACCGTTACTGCAGAGTCTCGCCAGTCCACACTGTCAGAATCTGCAGCACTGTCGTCCCTTGTGCAGAAAAAACTCTGACTATAACAAAACAAGCTGGACTGAGGCGTTTGTGCCTTGCATGATAATGTTGGTTTAGGATGGGAAGGGTTTCTTGCAGGGTTCAGATGGAAAAAGCTACGCTGCAAAACTTTTTAAATTGTCCACAATAGGATGCAAGCAAAGTATGAAAATCAATGCACGAATAAGGATG